TCTAGAATCTTCTTTCTATTTTTAAGAAATCATTAAAGCTTTGGAATCATTTTTACAATTTTTATATTTAAATGTCATCCATGATAATATTTCTGTAGCACTTTACAATTTAGAGTAGACCTTTACCTATACTATATAGCTTACTCTCTCGGAGTAACCTTATGTGTTAGATAAGACAAACGTTGCATAATCCTCACATTCATAGGTGCATAATCTGAGCTTCAGAAAACTTGGATGATTGTCCCAGCCCATGTGACTATTTTGCAGTACTGCTTAAATTCAAGTTCCTTTCCTTCGTCTTGCTGCTAGAACCAGTATCATATACTGTAGAATGGTATCTTTTGTTACATTTATGTACTCTTGATACTTTATCTATATTGTTTTAAAGAGTTCAGTTTTTTTGGTTTTGCCCAAAGTAAAAGTAAGTAAAACAGATTTTTCAGGAAGAGCTTGTTCAAACTTGCCATCCCAAGGTGGTAAGTGCTAAGATTCATGTATATGCAAACCTTCTGGGTATAAATGAAAACTACTTAATATATATGTTTTTACTAAAATAGAATACCCTTCTTCTTCTTATGTGTGTGTGTGTGTGTGTGTGTGTGTGTGTGTGTATATATATATGAGTGGAGGACATAAATATACTTTGTCATTAAAGTTTCTGCTCCAGCCTTTGTTCTTGTTTTTTATTAATTAATTTTATTGGTACATTTAAGGTATACAATGTAAATGATATTCATCATTGGAAATTTTGCACCTTTACATCATCCATCTTGGTTCTTATTTTTTCCCTATTCCTCTACCCTCCCTTCAACCATTCCACCCCTCCCTATCTACGAAGACTTTAATTCCATTTTTCCTTTTTCTCAGGTTAATTCCACTCCCATCTTTCTTTTTTGTTGGTTTATATATGCCTCATTATGTTTTTTGTTTTCATTTTTTTTTCCTGTCTCCTTTATGAAAACCTTTCTGAATCATTTAGTTTGTGTGTCCCTTGTAAATACACATTACTGGACTTTTTTCCCATCTGAGAATTCTCTTAAGCATTTTAATCCTGCATGTTCACAGGTGAACTTTCCTTAGTTCTCTTTTTTAGTATTGCTTATTTAGATTAGAGTAATTTCTAAATGCTAGGCCAGCCCTTACTTTATCTTGTTATTCTTCCTGATTTTCTCTTCCTACTGTTACATTCTATAAAATATTTTGAAAATACTTTGCATGGTGAATTTTCTGAGTCCTTCTATGCTGAGAATTTCTTTATTTTTTCTTCTGTATCAGTGTATATAAATTCTGACTTCATAATTCTATTTCTTTAGCCCTTTATTTGGGGGTTACTACTACTCCATTGTCTTTGTGCATCCAGTGTTAATTTTGAGAAGGCTTGATATAAATTCTATTTTTCCTTTTTATTTTTATTTATTTAATTTTTAAGTACTTGGGATTTAACTCAGGCCCTCCAAATGTAACTGCATTCCCACCCCATTTTTTATTTTGAGACAGTCTTGCAAAGTTGCCCAGGATAGGTAGGCTTGAACTTGTGATCATCCAGCCTCACCTTCCCAGAGTGCTGGTATTACAGGCATGTGTCATCCTGCCAGCTGCTGTTCTTCCTTTATGAAGGAGTTTCCTTTTACTTTCCAGAAGCTTTTTCAGACTTTTCTTATAATCTATAGTACTCTTAAATGTCCATATAATATGATTTTCTATGAAATTTTAGTTATTGTGTTTGCCACTGTATTCCCTTTCAATGTGAGGTGTAAATTTTATTTCTGGGAAATTTCTCTTCACACACCCTTGTCTCGTTATGGTCACATGTCAGACTTATTAATTGGTCATATACTCTGATTCAAGAGTTGTAAGTGGATACTAGAATATAGAAATAAAAAAGATGCAGTGCATGTCCTTAGGGAGTTTTTATTTTAGTGGTGTCCATGGGCAAGTAAGTGGGCAAATTTATAATGAAGTGTGATAAATTCCGTGATATGACATGATGCCCACAGTATTCCGGAAACATATGGGAAGAATTCACTACTTCATTTGTACAGAAGGGAGGAGATGTCTTAGTTGAGTTACTGTTTAAGTTGAGTCCTGAAAGGTGTTTGTTTGTTAGCTAGATGAGGAAGATTAGGGAAGTCCAAGGAAAAGGAACAATTTATTATTTTTTTAATATTTTTTCTCTCTCATTGAGTTTATTGGTACATTTTAGGTATACAGTACAGTTATAGTCATCATTGGGATCTTGTGCCTTTGCATGACAGGTCTTGGTTCTCATTTTTTCCCCTTGTCCCTGCCCTCCTTGCAACTCCTTCTACCATCCCCATTTACACTTTATTTACATTTTTTCATTTTCTCATATTTTTTTCTGGAAAAGGAACAATTTAGATAGAGGTAGCAATGGTTCAGTGCTATCACTTTCCCTGTGATAAAACTTTGGGAAGATAACAGAACAGAAAAATTGGAGCAAAATAGTCTCGTAGATTTCAAGAAAGGGTTTGACCTGAGCAAACAGGTTTTGCAAAGCTTTTTCTTATGGAAAAATGCATTGATGTGGGGCAAGGCAGGAGCCACTGGTGTCCAGTAAGAGGCTGTTGCAATAATTCAGGTGAGAAAAGATGATAGCTCTTCTAGCTGTGAAGATAGAATTACAGTAGTTAGATCAAAGTGATAATTAAAGATGTTGGGTAGCCAAGACTGTGGTTCATTACATTAGGTAGAGAAGAAAAGAACTGTGTAAAGAATGATGCCTAGTTTCTCCCTGGCATACCATTCAAGACAAAGTCTTTCCAATACTTTGTACGTGAAAATAAATGCTTTCTAATTGAAAGAGTTATTTGGAAACATAGCAAAGCAATAGGCTACTTTTTCTATTTGTTTTAAAGAATAGTTTTTTTCTTCCAAAATAAAGTAGCTCAGAAAACAGGGGAGATTTTTTTCCCCAAGTTTGTGACAACTCGGTTGACAGCAATGATTACCCTGAAATGAGGCTATTTTTATAGTTCTTGTTTTTAGCACTTTGAGCAGACATTCATGAGTCTTTTAGAATTGTGAATGTGTCTGATGATGGCATGCTGCTTCAGAATTGACTGGGAGCATTACATGAAAAAATATATTATCTTACTAAACTGCAAAATATTCTAATGAATAGTATTTAGTCTGAAGAGTTTCAGATAATGAATTATGGACTTGCACTTTAAATGTTGAGTATTTTTGTTCTTTTTGTATTGCAGCATTATTTTCTAGTAACAACCATTATATGGCAGCGTTACCACCTATATGTGTATTATGTAGTACCAACTTCAAGACAGAGTGACAAATGAAGTTACAAACCATAGTATATACTATGCTTCTATTTGAGACTTTAAAAACACCGAAAGGGGGAAGGACATACATAGACACACGTGTATAGACAAAGAATATCAGTAACAGCACTGTGAGTCAGTAACGAGAGAAAAACTTAAGTTATGTGTATGTGAGTAGACATGTATAAACGTGTATTCATATGTTATTCTGGTCAAATGTTTCACTACATGTTATTCTTTTTTGTTTAAAGTTTGAGTTCTACAAATACTATGAGAATCTCCTCGTGAAAACGTAAAGATTCGTTTGAATTCAGCTGCATTGAAAACATTGATTTTTATAATGATAGAATTTAAGCTATTTACATAGGTGCTAGTTTTTTACACCTTATAGTAATTTATCCCTATCATTTGTCACTAGGACTGTGAAAGCATTAGGATCGGAGAACAAGTGTTGGAAACCCTTGCATTTAAGGGTCGAGATTGTCGAAAGCAGGCGTGAAATGAGAGCATGCGCGGCTGAAGATGAGTGGCAGTCAGTAGAAGGGGGAGTTCGGTCCTCGTAGTTCAGACGGCAGTGATAGCAAAGGTTGGAAGCCTTGACTACAGTTTTTAAGCAGCAGAGCCTAAGGGAGTAAGAGGAATATTTATTTACAAAGATAGTACAGCGAAACAAAGGAAATGGGGATAAGTAAATTTTTAGCAAAGAAGAACTAGGAGATAGAAATAGAAAGTTAGGACTCCTCAGAGAAACGAAGAGACCCATAGAGAAGATTAAACATAAATATGATAATGTTCAGTGTTGGGGGTTTCAAAATTACTTTCTGGTAAATATAATTTCATGTTAAAAAAAGATAATGTATGGTAGTTATGTTGGAACTGAAATATTGTTAGATCAGAGTGAGAAAAGTCAGTCTGTTTGTCCCTAATAAATTAGTATAGATTGAAATCAGAAAAAATCCAAATATTTGCCACTTTCCACCAGATGCATATTTAAGTTATCTTTGCCACTTATTCAAATACTTGGGTTTTTAGTTCCATCAGCAGTCTCTTACAGCGAAATTCAAGAAATTAAATATTTAAAATATATCACTATTTTTATTGTGTTTACTTTGGGGATTATTATTTTTTAATGTTACAGTAGTCAAGTTCTGATTTGAGGTGAGTACTAAATTAGTAAAATTAGTGTCAGGAAATAATTTGTTAATATTTAGTGATTTAGTTGTATACTAACAAACATGTCATATTCTTGTCATAAAATTATAATAATTGATGGATATTTGATATTACAAATAAAGCAAAATGTCAATTTTGTAATCTAGCTGGTTGATAGAATCTATAAGTTTGAACATTTTCATAATAAATGTTGAATTTAAGCATAACTTTTAGTGAAGAAACTTATGTTAAATGGAATATTATTGTGTGAATAGTATAAAATACTAGATGTTCTTTTTTCCCATTGATTTTGAAAAAATCTCAAATCTTTTTTCTGTTAGTAGAATTTAATTGTAAAGGTCATACTATTTGATATAAATAATTTGTTCCCATCTGATGGAAATTGTCTTATCCTTTAGAACAGTATAGTGACCATTAAAAAAGGAAGATTTAAAAATTATAATGGTTTATACAAACATTTTTTGAGATATACATAAATTAGAGCAGACAAAGGTTTAGCAACTATTTAGAACTTCTATTCTTCTATTTTAGGGAAACTGGAAACATCAAAGCTGGATTAGAACATCTGGTAAGTTCTAATTTTCTCTTGAACATTTGCATCATCTTTGATATCTGCATTCTAAATGAACACTTTTGAATGAGCTTTGAATACCTTGTATTGAGAAAGTCAACCATTTCCCAAAGGGTCAGCTTACTGTTATTATGTGAAGGCACTTACACTTTCATTTATCTTATCGTTTCAAGGGAGTTTAAATTTTTTTAAATTACCTTTTTTTCTGATGTAGAGATGAAATAACATGAATGGCAATCCTTGGATTGATGATTGCTTTAATTGTAAGCAAAAATTGTTTGGTGTAGAATTTTTGGCATGTCTTGTTCTGACAAAAACAAGCTTGTGTTTAAAAAAAACAATCAAATATTGCATGCATGCATAAATGTGTGTTTTAGCAATTTAACAGCATTGAAAGAAATGCACAGCTTTGTTTTTCTTGATGTCTTTGCTTTATGAATAATGCATTGGTTTAAACTACGTTCAATTTTAGAATATAAAATAATTGAAATGGGGAATTTTTGGTTTAAGTAAACATTTTTAAACAACAAGTAAAACAAACTGATTTAGCATGAATCTGTCTAGTGATCTAAAATTTTGAAAAATGATAGTATTATTACTCGATTGAAATTCACTATATGGAGTTTTATTACAATATTAAATAGTTCATTTAAACACAGCATTATAAAGACATCCACTGGTTTCTAGTCAAGTCCAAATGTTGAATAATTAATAGGAGATATTCTTTTGTAAATACAATGTAAGTACTTTTTTAATGCAAGACTTCATTGATATATCGTACTGTAGCTTTGTTAACTGTTAATGTGCTTTTGTTCTGCTTCCACAAAAACAAAACAGCAGCAAGAGGCAGCTTCATTTACAGAAATTTCAGAGTTAGAGGGGATTTTTTATTTTCCTTTTAGTAGTCAAAGGAAACTGAGGAATCCTATACCTGTAAAAGTATCCCTAAGATTTATACATTGACTTTTTAAAATGCAGAATATAATTACCTAGTTAGAATATTTAAACTATGGATTTGTCAGGATTAGAAATAACTAAATAACATTATTATTGTCATCATTATGAAGTATTTCCTGAATCCATGTTTATCATTTCCTAATGGCAGCAACATTTAAAACAAAAGTGCATCAGACTAAAAATGTTCTTCTGAAATATCATATTTCAGTATCAACTGGAAGCTCATAACAAGGAAAAACAGCTACCATTATGTAAAATGAACTTTTGTATTTGTGTTATAAATTATTATTATTAAAAGACTTTGTTCATATTCCTCTAGAAATAATGAGCTTGATTTTTTATGTCACTGTCATATTTCTGTACTTATAGTCAGGTCTCATTTTTAGTAACTACTTCACACACAATCTTATGTAGCAATGGTTTTCTAACTGCCAAGGAAGCACCACCAAAAAAGGTAATATTCCAAGACTCTTGCTTCCTACTTTAACCAAAGTGTTCCATTTTTAGTTATCTTGTAAACATTTATACTTTTAAATAGGATTCTCTAGCTAAAAATATCTTAAAACCTTTGTTAAAGCACAGTTACTTAATAATATCAGTGAATATGTATGGTGTTATATCGCACATATTCCTTATGTCAGAAATGTGCACAGCACTACTCTCAGAAAGGCATGTCACTTTATCTTTGTAGTCTGTCCTTCTCTAGCTCCACAGTCAGTTTTTCTGACTTCTGCTTTACCTTTCCCGTGCCTTTTGAAAAAACAGTTGTGTATGCCTTTATGTATATACCTATGTGTAAATCTCTTTCCACCTTCATATGAAAAGTATCAGTCTCTATGTCCTTTGTTGTACGTGGCTTGTTGTTTTGTTGGGTTTTTGCTTAACAATACATCCTAGAAATCACTTTATAATCATTGTATATATCATTATCTTTATTGTATCTTTTTCATATCTGACTTTGTTTTCTTTAGTAAAGATTTGCGATTTTATTTGCTTGACTGCCACCCCTTTGTAGATGGTGGCAGAACACATGCTATTGCTGGGTCAAAGATAAAGCACTTTATTACTAACAGTACAGCAGGTAGCCTGTGCTTCGTATTTGTATCGCTTTCTCTTGACCCTCACATCCTATGGAGTGATTCTTCATACTCAGTGGGTTTATGTGATATAGCTAAGGAACTCCACGTGTAATTATTTTAGAGATCACTATAAAACCTGCCCAAATTTTGCCCAAAAGAAAGATGTCTTTGTTATCCTGGTCAAGTAACAAAACTGTCTACCAGCCCAGGGGAGCTTCTGTGTTTGTCCAGCCTTCAAGAATCCAGAGCCTTGTGCAGGCTAACTGTACGTTACGCACACCTGTTATCACTGAGCTACACTCCCAGCTCCAGGAAACCACTTTTGAGTAGATTTTGGGTCCTAAGAAATCATACTACAGGTATTCTGCAGTATTAATAGTAGTAATATCATTAGCAGCAAAACTAAACTTAAAACATCTCTAAGAGTGACATGCCCAAATTATATTTAAAAGAAAAAATGAGTGAGACTATTTTTAATGTTTGGTTTTTGTGTTGAACTTAAGGAAATAATTTTATTTGATGAAGAATCATATACTGATGAAAAACCTTCTGACAATGACCCTAAAGTTTTGTATTTTAGCACAGAAGAGTTGAAGGTGTAGAGGTGGATAGTTATTTGTTAATGACATTGCTACCGCTCTTTTTAAAATTAATGATGCTGTAAAGTTAGAGAAAATTGACCATTAGCTCTTGTTATATCAGAGGTTTTTGTCGTCTATGTTTTTTTTCCTAACATTTTAAATTTAAAATTCTGGATAATGTAATGAATAATAGATCTTATTGAACTACTTAATGCAAATTAAAATACTTTCTAGATAGTGTTTAATGTATTCCAATGTAATTACTGATATTAACACACATTTTTGTTTTTACTATTATGAAAAAATATAGTGGATAGTCTTGCCATTTGATTACAATATAGCTATTTCTATTTTATAAGAAAACTATATAAATAATGCTCTTTTTTCTATTGCTAGAGGGATTAAGATGAGAAAATATTGGACTAAAAAAAAAATGTCACCTTTTCAGGACACATAGTGTAATGGATTGTTTCCAACTTGAAAAAAGGCCTGCTGCATTATGCTGTCTTTGATGGGGAAGACGGTGACTTACCCCAAATAAGTATGATGTTTCCAAAGCTTCTCTTGATCCCTTTTTCTGAAAAGTCAAATGAATAGAAGTAGGTTGGAGTATGGAAACATGGTCGCCTAGGCCATTGCTTCACCACCTTTTATGTGCATCTGAGACAGCTGAGATTCCTGTTTAGATGCAGATTCTGATTCTCTAGGTGTGGAAGGAGTCATGAAATTATGAAATTATGTGAAGCTAGGACTACTGGTTCAGAAACTACCTGAAAGAAAAACAAATTAGAAGTCTTTGAGCCAGGTGTGCTGGTGCACCCCTGTAATCCCAGCACACAGGAGGCTGAGGCAGGAGGATCACTGCGAGTTCAATACCAGCCTGGGCTACATAATGAGTTCCAGTTCAGTCTCAACTACATAGAGACACCCTGTCTCAAAAAGCCAAAAAAAAAAAACAAAAAGACTTTGACTTTAGAGACACCTGTTCAGTGAAGAAGTCTTCTGACTTTGGTGAAGAACCTAGATGTTATCCTTATACTCAGTTTAATTCTGCAGTCTCTGATTGATTGGTTGGAAGTTTATAAACTTGGAGAGATGAGGATTCCATATATTTATAGAAGGATAAAAAAATTCATCATCTTAATCAACAAAGGTAACAAAAAGAATTTTTTCCCTTTATTTTTGACCCAGATATTAAGCTGTATTTTTCAGGACTAGAATTGCGTATTAGAACTGATAATATCTTGTTTAATTATAGGTGAACAATTAAATAATAATAAATATTTTCATAAGGTGAGTTACAAGTGTTTATAGTTTTATTGGGATTTGCTTTCTATTAATAGTTGAATAACAAAAGAACTCTGGAGCCATACCTGTGGGTTTTATCTTCCCACAGAGATTTCATTTGCATTTCTTATATCTGTATAACATTTCAGAGCAATGACCCTTTTGTCCTTGTGGTCAAGCAACACAGTCTGACCGTTTTAAGTGTCGAAAGCAGCTATCATTAATAACTTGTTTATGTCATCAGTGGTTTGTAAGAATATTGTTGCTGCTTGCCAGAAATATGGGAAGGCCCATTGTTGTTGTATACTCATCAATACTATCAGATTCTAAAAACTCCCTTTTTCTCTGTTCTAGGCTTTTTAACATAATACTTAGAAATGAAATTGCTGCATTTTAGTTATTATAAAAGTATTAACTTCATTTCAACAGAAATATAATAACAGTTAATATATTATCCATTTGAGGATTCAGTTTACATACAACATACACTAGAAAAAGCAACAAAAACAAAAAAGATATGGCCCCCATTCTAAACTCCTTTGTCTTGTTTGTTGCATTTTTTATATCTTAGTTTCAGTTTTTATTTCATCACTGTGTACTGAAAAAAAAAGTTTTTGACGGTTGTCCAAATGAGTTTGAGAAAATAACTATCTCAAACTACACTCATACTACCCATATACTATATGTTTATTGTCACCGATCTAAAACTTTTTTTTTTTTTTTTTTTTTTTGTACCGGGGATTGAACTTGGGTCCTTGTGCTTGGGAAGCAGGCCACCAAACCGCTGAGCTAAATCCCCGGCCCTTAAAATATTTATTATCTTATATTACTATTTAAGATCTTCAGCACAATCAGTCTCTTTCCTCCCCATGTTTTATTTTTCTTGCCGAAGTCCACATGTATTGGAGGTTTAGGGTAAAAGTTCATATTGAAATAGACATTTTTCTCACACTGTGATCATGCAAAGAAGCAGTATGAAGTTTTCCTTTGCAGAAGACCAATTCCATAAATCATTCTCTTTAATCAGTCAAATGTATGCTATGAATGGATTCAAATTAAAATAACTTTAATGTGGATTAAGTGTCAATGTCAT